TGACCTGGAGCCCAACCATGTATCTGCAGTTTATTTACCCATCTTTTGCTCACAGGAAAAAGAGGAATCTTTATTTTGATGTGATGGAGCTGTTCCTGTGTACTGTGACCTCTGTTTTGGAAATAAAACACTAAAAGCAGCTCGTGAAGGATCCGACTGCTTGTGTGGGTTCATAAACACAGCTGCGCTGGGGGCATGGAATCCCAGACTGGTTTGGGTTGGAAGGAACTTAAAAATCATCTCACTCCACCCCTGCCATGGGCAGGGACACCTCCTGCTATCCCAGATTGCTCCAAGCCCTGTCCAACCTGACCTGGGGCACTTCCAGGGGTAGGGCAGCCACAGCTTCTCTGGGAATTCCATCCCAGCCCCTCCCCACCCTCACAGGGAAGAATTCCTTCCTAATTTCAAACCTAAATTTCCTCTCTTTCAGCCTGAACCCATTCCCCCTTGTCCCTCGCTGCAGTTCATGATGAACAGCTCCTCTCCAGCTCTTTGTAGCCCCTCCAGGTCCTGGAAAAGGCCGTGAGGTCTCCACAGAACCTTCCCTGCTCCAGGTTCCACAGGCTCCTCTTGAGCGCTGGGCATTCAGAATCCTGGGAAAGGCGGTGGAGAGATGGAATTCCCTGAGCTGGAGCTGGGCCACCAAACCAACACTGAAGAGAAACTGAAAGAGAAGGAGAGGGAATGCCCAGAGCCTGGTTCCGAGGGAAATCCTGGGTGCGCCATCCTCACTCTGCGCGGGATCAGCTGCTGGAAACTCCAAATCTGTAATTCCTGCTGGAGCAATTCCCTCAGTGCTGCCCCACTTTGGGTCAGGAAGTGGCAAGAAGTGGGATGAGTGCTGCAGAGGGCACCCTGTGCCCCGCGGTGTTGTAGTATGTTTATTCAGTTCTGTTAAAATTGTTATTATTTCGTCTGTTTGGTATGTTCCTGGTTCTCCCCCATTGACTGCTTTGGTTGGTTCCATTTGTCTGTTATGTAAACCCCTCCCAGTTTTCCTGAATGTTCCCTGTCAATCACCTTTACCCTGCCCCATCTCCCCATCCATCATTGTAAATCCCACCTCTCCTTCCAGCTCCTTCCATGTACATCATCCCTTCCTCAGAACACCATTGGTTGTTATGTTGTATTCCCGCCTTCTTTGTATCCCCATTGGTCCCTGACATTGTAACCGCCTCCCCTTACCCCTCCCTCCGTGAGCTCCCATTGGCCCCTGGACTGTGCCCGCCCCTGAGATAAAACCCAGTGCACAGAGGTGCTCGGGGCTCTCTTCGGTCCTGATTTCTCCCAGCCCAGACCGTTGTGCTCATCCCCTCTCCTGAATAAACCTGTTTCTGGGAAGTACAGCCGAGTGAGTCTCCTCTATTCTTCTGCCATCACCCACGACGCCAGATTTGGCAGAGCCCGGCAGGATTTGGTTCTCTGAAGGTTCTGCAGTGGGATCGCCTTTCCCCTGCAGTTCCCCACTCCTGGCGCCTGCCCGTGCCGGAGTGGCACCGCAGAGCCAGCCCGGAGCTCCGGTGTGGCCAAGAGCAGCGTCACCGCGGGGCCGTGCTGGGAGCGGGCGCTCTGTCGACATTCCGCAAACCGCGCTCTGCTTCCCGCCAGAGCATCGCCCTGAAAATCAAACTTCCTGATTGTCTGCAACATTGTTTGTTTTCGCTGTTATTTTCCTTTTTTGGTTGTTGAAGATATTGTTTGTTTCCTCTGTTCATTTTTCTTTTCTTTTTTCTTTTTTAAAGACAAAAAGGGTGAGATGTCGCTCTGAAAATCAAGATTTCTGACACTTTTTAAACACGTTTATAGTTACTTTCCTGGGAAAGTGTTTAGAAACTATGAAACAATGTCAGAAAACTTGATTTTCAGAGCCTGCTTTTTTATCCAATCTCAAGAACCCGATCTTCCTACCAGCCCTGCTGGCAAAGACAATAATTGCTGTGTGATGGTGTCGATATCCAGCGAAGGACACGCGCTCGGTGCTCCCGAGGGAACGGAACCCGAGCGGTGTGTCTCGGTTTGGAGGGACAGGTGTCTGCTAAAGAGGGTAGAAACCTCTCTTGAAATGGAAAAACGTAAACCACCCCCACCTCTGAATTATTACAATCTTGATATCAAGGGGCTCTCAGGCAAAGATTGGGAATGGGAATAACAGTTCCTTACTAGGAAAATTAAAATTCAAATGTGGTAGTACCAAAGAAAAACACCAAAAACCACACAAAATAAAAAAAACCCCTGACAATCAGAGTACAGCCTGACACTCTGTCGGGCAGGGTGTAGGGAGCAGTCCCATTAAATGGTGGCTGCAGTCCTGGGGTGACAGATGTGGTTCTGTTGGAGCAGTGATCCTGTAGATGGGTGTAGTTTTCTGTTGCCACTGAGGATGAATAGATCACACGGACACAGGTCAAGGTGTGGTGAAAGGAAGAGAAAGTTTATTTCTCCTCCCAGGATTTATAGGCTTCTGACCACGGCCAGGGGTTGGATGGTCAGGATAACACTTTCTCACTGCACTGGCCATGAGAGATGTCCAGCACAAGATGTGTAACAGAAATAATGTACACATATCTATGTTTACAGTTACTGTCTTGAGAAAGTACTTAGAAAACCATGTTAGCAAGCTCAGAAGCTGAGTTTTCAAGGTGACAGTTTTCCTCTGAAGGTTCAGTGGTGGTGAAATGGGTCCGGTCTCCTCTGGGAGTCCAGTGGAGAAAGGCTGACTCTGGTGCTCTAAATCCCAGATTATATCCGGGTAGGAATGCTTGGCTCCTCCTCCTGTGGAGCATCTCACAATGGGATGATGGAATTGTATCAGTGGCCCATTAACAGAAGAGATCCCCCTGCAGGGAGGATGGGTCCTGGAAGGGATAAAGAGATAAAGAACACTGCCCCACCTGGCCCATCAACAGAAAATATCCCCCAGTTAAGAGGGATGGGTCCTGGAAAAGATAAAGAACACTCCCTTACCTGGTTTGAAAGTGATAATTAAATACAGACTTGGTTACAGCTTGCATTTCAACCCAAGACTGGGTGATGGAGAAGGTGTTTTTCCATTCCAAGAGCTGTCTTGCTTGGATTTGGGATGCAAACAAGCCTGGAGGAACTCCAGAAAATATCTGGATAACAGCCCCTTTGCCAGAAAATATTTTGGTTATGACCAAAAAAGTTTGGTTTGTTTGTTAGAAAATATTTAGATCATGACCAAACCCATTTTGGTCCATTTTCCAGAGGGTATTTGGGTTGTAACTCAGAATGTTTTGGTTGGTTTGGGTGTTTGCTGGCGATTTGGGAAGTGTGTATTTGTGGTTTTTTGTTTTCACAGAAAAGAAGAAGCAAACAAGGAATTTTCTGGGCTGGTGGGAGGATGAGGAGTGTGGGTTAAACACCGAGGGTGGGTTGCACCTTCCCGGGGGTTACAGCACCTGCCTTTGGATATGGGATGGGGAGGGAATCGTGTGCTCCACAAAATAAACGGATGAATGGAAAAGTGGGTGATTTCTATCCAAACAGTGAAAGCAGGAGCAGGTAGGACATGGAAATGAGCTCATGTCCTGGAGTGAAGGTCTGGGATGCTGAGGAAGATGAGAAGGGAGGACAGCACTGGCAATCACCTCGGAGCAAACCAGAGGAGGAACCTGGGGACCACCCTGGAGGAAAAGAGAGAAGGAAGGTGGGGATCGTTCTGGAAAATCCGAGAGAAGGAACGTGGGAATCACCTTGGAAAATCTGCGAGAAGGAACGTGGGAATCACCTTGGAGGAGATGAAAGGGGGAACCTGGGGACCATCCTGGAAAATCCGAGAGAAGGAACCTGGGAATCACCTTGGGAGAAATGAGAGAAGGAACCTCAGGACCATCCTGGAGGAAAAGAGAGAAGGAAGGTGGGGATCGTTCTGGAAAATCCGAGAGAAGGAACGTGGGAATCACCTTGGAGGAGATGAAAGGAGGAACCTGGGGACCATCCTGGAAAATCCGAGAGAAGGAACCTGGGGACCATCCTGGAAAATCCGAGAGAAGGAACCTGGGAATCACCTTGGGAGAGATGAGAGAAGGAACCTGGGCACCATTCTGGAAAATCTGCGAGAAGGAACGTGGGAATCACCTTGGAGGAGATGAAAGGAGGAACCTGGACACTATTCTGGGAAATCCGGGAGAAGGACGGGCTCCATCTCCTCGGCCCGTGTCCCGGGACAGCCTGTCCGCCTCCATCCCCTCTCTCTCCAGGGACGGAAGGAGGGCAGCCAAAAGCGTTTCTCTCTCTCGCCAGGAGCCTCGAGTCCCTTTGTCCTGGGGCAAGGCTGGCGCAGGTTTTGGCGAGCGCAGCCACGGCCGGAGCGGTGCCGTCGGCTCGCTCGTCCCCGATAAGCGCTGCCCCCTTATCGGATCGCTGCCTTTGATCTCGCCCCCGGGGGCGATGCCGCAGGATCCTCGTGGCCCGAAGCACAAAGCAGCCCTTGAGGCCGGGCTGCGAGAGGCGCTAATGGAAAGCGGAGGTCAGCAGATAAGAGCCGGCGCTGCCTCCCGGGATAAAAGCGGGAGCCCGGGCGGTCCTGCCCGGCTGCTGCCGCCTCCCGAGGCCTGAACCAGGACGGCTCCGGCACCATGAAGTGGCTCCCGGTGGTCCTGGCGTGTCTGCAGCTGGCGGAGGGGGCGGTGAGGTGGGTGAGAGGGCGGGGAGCGGAGCGGGAGGATGCTCTGGGACCGCGGTGTCCTGCAGCTCCATGTGCTGGTCACAGCCCCGGGCAGCTCCTGGGGCATGGGGAGCTCCTGGAGCACAGAGAGCTCCTCTCATGGCTCAAAGGAGCCCACAGAACTGAGCCTTTGAAAATGCCCAAATCTTATTTCCTGCTGTGTTTGTTGTGTTTTGCCTCTCCGGGTGCAGGATCAGTCTGAAGAAAGGCCTCTCCATCCGGGACAAGATGAGGGCAGCTGGGGTGCTGGATGATTTCCTGAAGCACATTAAATACGATTCGGTGAAGAAATACCAGCCCAGCCAGGGCTCGGTGGTGAGGGAGCCCATCACCAACCACCTGGATGTGAGTGCCCCACACTCCCCTCCCTGCCTGCCCTTCCTCCTTCCCAGCTGCCACAGCAATCTGGACACCCCTGAGCCTCCAGGACTGAGAAATTGCTTTTCCCTCCCACTCTTAAATTGCTTTTTTCCCCACTCCTTTAAGCTTCTGTTTTAAACCTCGAGGAAGTTGATCCCCAGCCACAAAGAGTGAAGCTTTTCTGTATGAAACAAACCCTCAATAATGATTTAATATTTAATTTTGAGGAGCAGTAAAAGCAGGATGAGAGCTCAGTGTGCTCCTGCCTGGGTGGGTTTAAGATGCCAGGGGGAATCCTGGTCTGTCCCTGAGCCTGTGGCCAATGGAGATTCTGTTTTTTTTCCCCAGTCCTCCTATTTTGGGGAGATCAGCATCGGGGAGCCCCCCCAAAAGTTTTTGGTGCTCTTCGACACCGGCTCCTCCAACCTGTGGGTGCCCTCCACGGACTGCAAGAGTCCCGCTTGCTGTGAGTACCCCGGGGTGCTGTGAGCAGAGCTATTACTGCTCCTAGGAGTAATTAGCACTCACTAATTAGTACCCACTGTCCCGGCACTGCAGGGCTCCAGGCTCCCTGCGTTTCCAGCATCCCAGACTGACCAAACCAAGATGGGTTTAGGTGCCAGAGGGTGCCCAAAGCCAGGTCCTTGTCCCTGTTCTTCCACATCCTTCCCCTGTCACGGTGGGGACATCACGATGCTGGACCAAAAATGACCCCGGGATGCTGATCTGGGATAGCTGGTGCCTTCTGGGGAAGCTCAGAGCTCGGTGGCTGAACCCCCACAGCCATCCCAGGAATCTCAGGGGTGCTCCCTGGCCGGGCAGAGGGAAGAGGAAAACTGGGAACTGCGGGAGAGCGATGGGGATTTCACTGTGAGGGCTTGGCCCTTGTGCCCCCTGTGATGTGAAGAGAGCAGCCAGCGCTGTCTGTGGAGTTCAGTCTGCACTAAAGAATTGCAGGGTTACAAATGTATGAAAAACAGAAAAGCTAAAATGCCTGGAGAGGGATCTGGGCAAAACTGGGATGCAAAGCCCACAACCTGAAAGAGAACCATGGGACAGAGGAGCAGCCTGTCCCCATCCCCAGGATCTGCTCCTTGGGAATTATCCCAGGGGAATATCCAGCAGTGAAACCCCACTGCAGCACAGGAGCTGCTCCTTGGGAATTATCCCAATGGAATATCCAGCAGTGAAATCCCACTGCAGCACAGGAGCTGCTCCTTGGGAATTATCCCAGGGGAATATCCAGCAGTGAAACCCCACTGCAGCACAGGAGCTGCTCCTTGGGAATTATCCCAGGGGAATATCCAGCAGTGAAATCCCACTGCAGCTCATGCCCAGGGCTTTCCTCTCTCCTCCAGTCAACCATGCCAAGTTCAAGGCCAGTGACTCGGTCACCTTCACCCCCAGTGGCCAGTCCTCCACCGTGTCCTACGGCAGCGGCTCCGTCACCATCGTGCTGGGCTCTGACACGCTCAGGGTGAGTGCTGCCCGTGCCATCCCTGCCTCCCCTGCCGTGTCCTGCCCCATGGGATGAGCCCTGGAGCAGCCTAAGGGCCGATCTCATGTCCTGTGTTGGACTTGGACAAACCCTGGGCAGACACGAAGCCTTTCCTGCCGCCCTCAGTCACCCAGCTGGCCTTGGGCTGGCTTTTAACCCAATTCCTGGGTTTTTTCCTGATTTTCCCCTCTGCCTGGCGCTGTTGGCAGCAGCTGTGACCCTGCAGCGCTTTCAGAGCAGCAGCCCCCGCTCAGGTTTGCCTGGCTGACCTCGGATCCCCTTCCCCTGCAGATCCAGAGCATCACTGTCACAAACCAGGCGTTCGGGCTCAGCCAGGACGAGCCCACCCAGCCTTTCTACTTTGCGGATTTCGATGGCATCCTGGGCATGGCCTACCCCTCTCTGGCAGTGGGAGGGATGGCCACGGCTCTGGAGGGGATGCTGGAGCAGGACCAGCTCGCTGAGCCCATCTTCAGCTTTTACTTCGCACGGTAAAAACCTTTCAGGGTGCTCTGCAGGTCCTGGTGTGCCCTGCCTGTCCCCATGAGGGTTCCCTGGGGATTTATCCCTCTCTAGCCCATGATTACCACATGAATTTCCTCATCTCTGCTGCTGTGACTGTTTTTTTTTGCAGCCAGCCCACCTATGAGTATGGGGGAGAACTCATCCTCGGGGGTGTTGACCCTCAGCTCTTCCAGGGGGACATCACGTGGGTGCCGGTGACACAGGAGCTTTACTGGCAGGTGGCACTTGAGGAGTGAGTGGTGTTTGTAGCTCTGGCTGTGGCTCAGCTGCAGCTTTGCAGGGTTTGGGACTCGATGCTTTGGGTTTGGGGGCCAGCAGGTGCCCAAAGCCACGCCCGTGTCCCCGTTCCCCTGCCAGGTTTGCCATCGGGCAGTCAGTGACCGGCTGGTGCAGCCAGGGCTGCCAGGCCATCGTGGACACGGGGACATTCCTGCTGACCGTGCCCCAGGAGTACATACAGAGCATCCTGGAGGCCCTGGGAGCCCAGGAGACCAGCTATGGGGTGAGTGTGGGGATTTTGGGGGGTCTGGAGCAGTGGGGAGCCTGCACGGGAATCAGAGCCCACAAAAGTCATGTGGCAGCTGCAGGACAAGGGACTGCAGGTGTGACAGGATGAGGGGACATCAGGCTGAGAAAGGTGGGGATGTTCAGCCTGGAGGGGAGAACATGGTGTGGAAACCTCACAGCCAGTTCCAGGATGTGAAGGGGCTGTGGGGAAGCCGGAGAGGGACTTGGGACAAGGGCGTGGAGTGACAGGACAAGGGGAAATGGGTTCAGATTGAACAAGAGGAAATTTAGGTTTGATACAGGGAGGAATTCCTCTCTGTGAGGGTGGGGAGGCCCTGGAATGGATTTCCCAGAGAAGCTGTGGCTGCCCCTGGATCCCTGGGAGCGTCCAAGGCCAGGCTGGAGCAGCCTGGGATGGTGGAAAGTGTGGAGAAGCTCTGGGTGATGTTTAAGTTCCCTTCCCACCCCAACCATTCCATGATCCCACGGTGCCAGGGGAGGGAGCGTTGGTCACGCTGGCACGCGACGGCCTCTGTCCCCTCCCTGCCACCACCTCGTGTCCCCACAGTACGCAGTGGACTGCAACGACACCCAGAGCATGCCCCCCATCACCTTCAGCATCGGCGGTGCTCAGCTCCCGCTCTCCCCCTCCGCCTACGTCCTGAACGTACGTGTGGGGTCTGGGGTGAGGATGGGGGCGAGGATGAGGGGTCTGGAGGCAGGGTGAGGGGTCTGGGGATGAGGATGAGGGGTCTGGGGTGAGGATGGGGGTGAGGATGAGGGGTCTGGGATCCATCTGGAGAATTCCAGCGGCTCTGGGAGGAGCGCGGAGCTCCCCGGGCAGCGGCGCCGCTCGCCCTGCGCCTGCCGGAGGTGCTGACCCCGTTATTCCCCTCCTGCAGAGCAATGGCTACTGCACCCTGGGCATCGAGGTCACCTACCTGCCCTCCCAGGACGGGCAGCCCCTCTGGATCCTGGGAGACATTTTCCTGAAGGAATATTACACCGCCTTCGACATGGCCAACAACCGCGTGGGCTTCGCCCTGTCAGCTTAGAGGGAGCAAATTCCAGCCCCTCTCCCAGCCCATGGAGTGCCACGGCATTCCCAGGGACCTTTCTGTTCCTTTCCAACCCCATCCCTCGGGATTTGTGTGTGGGTGTGTCCTCAGCACCTCCTGTAACAAATAAACCCGAGAATCCCAAATGGTGTCTGAGCCGCTGGGTTTGTTGGCCTGAGCCTGAGGGGTTCCATGGCTCACAATCCCTTTCTCCAGCGCTGGGATGAGCTCCAGGCCCGGGGATAAAGCCCCAAGGATGGGCAGATTCCACCTCCAACCCTCGGGAAGCCTCAGGGGAGAAGCCCTGAGCTTCCCTGCGGCTGGAAAAGGTTTGCCCAAGCCCTGTGGTTTATCCAAGCGGGAATCTGAGGCTGTGAGGTGAGTCACCATACCCAAATGACCCCTAAACCCTGAAGTGGGGCTGCTCAGCCTGGGAAAACTGCCCTGGGAATATCAGGAATTGCAGGGTGTGGCTGAAGGGGACGGGGAACACCCTGGGTGGGGGGAGGTTGGGTGACCCCGCTCTTTCCCAGGATCCAGAGCTGTTCCTTGGATGTTCTTTATCGCCGGAGCTCATTCCCAGATGTGCTCACGGCTCTGTCACTTCCCGGGGGAAGGACACAGAGTGCTCCGAGCTTCGTGTCAAAATATTGACACAGGCTGAGTGTGCTGGGACCGAGATTTAGCGGGCGTGGACATCGGGGAAGGACGTTCCTCCTCCTCCTCCTCCCTCTGGAATGGGAATTTTCTGCTGGAAACAGGGTGGTGGTGGCAGGAGGGGACGGGCTCTGCTGGTCCCCTTTGCTCCCTGCAGGATCTGCCCAGGCCAAGGCAGATCCATCAGGATGCGATGGAGGAGAAAGGGAAACTCGGGGGGATTTCTGAGCTTCTGAAGATTCCAAGCATCGTTCCATGCCCAAAAACTTGGATGGGAGCGGCCAGCAGGTCTGCAGGCACCTGAAACACGGCTGCTCCTGCCCATTCCCAGAACACCAGCAGCAGGAATTTCCATTCGCTGGAAAGGGTGTGTGTGGTTTTTTTTGCCTTTGTTTTCTGGAAAGCTCGAGAGAAAAAGCCTTTACCTGGGTGATAAGGACAGCATTTCGCTTTTTATCAGACGTCCCGTGTTTGGTCTCGCTATGGGAGGCGCTGAGCTGGGTGAGGAGGGAAATCAGGGTGGATGTGGTGACCAAAGCGAGGGAGGGAGCAGGGAGCGAGGGCAGGAGGAAGGAGCTGGGCACGGATCTGCCCATTCCCAGCCTGTCCTGGCCCCGGAGCTGCCACCGAGCCACCGCCACCGCCAGGGACATGTGGGGGCTGCTGCTGACCCTGCTGTGCCTCCCACTCGGGGAGGGAACGCTCAGGTGGGTCTGGGGTGAGGATGGGGTGAGGATGAGGGGTCTGGAGGCAGGGTGAGGGGTCTGGGGATGAGGATGGGGGGTCTGGAGGCAGGCTGAGGGGTCTGGGCAGGATGATGATGAAGGGTCTGGGCAGGATGATGATGAAGGGTCTGGGCAGGATGATGATGAGGGGTCTGGGCAGGATGATGATGAGGGGTCTGGAGGCAGGATGAGGGGTCTGGGCAGGATGATGATGATGAGGGGTCTGGGGTGAGGATGAGGGGTCTGGAGGCAGGCTGAGGGGTCTGGAGGCGAGGATGAGGGTGAGGATGAGGGCTCTGCCTGGAGGGGGGCTCAGCCCCAGCACGGGGTGCCCAGCTGGATCTCTGTGCCCCACAGGATCACCCTGAGGAAGGGCAGGTCCGTGCGGGAGGTGATGAGAGAGAAGGGGCTGCCCGAGGGCTTCCTGAGCGACCTGCGAGGGGACCCGGGGAGGAAATACCAGCTCGGAGGGGCTGTGGCTTATGAACCTCTGCTGAACCACCTGGATGTGAGAGCTGGAGCTTTTCCTTTCCCCTCTGGGCTGGCTTGGCTTTCTGGGGAGCCCTTCTTGGCTTTCCTGGCTGCTGGGGGTGCTCAGCTCCCTCCCACTGCCCAGTTCAGGGCTTTGGGAAGGGTTTTTTGGGGGGTTTAGGCTGGCCCCGTGGGCTGGGTGGTGCTGGGAGGGCAGGAGGCATCAGCTGGAGTTGAGACAGGGAAATCCCTTCTCCAGAAAAGCAGAATTGATGTTTCCAGGGTGGATCCACACCATTCCTGACCCTGCCCAGGGCAAATCATTGTCCCATTTTGTGCTTTGGTGCCCTGCAGGCCCACGAGCAGTGCTTTGGGGTTCAGAAACCTCACTCAAAAAAGCAGGCAGGAGCAGAAACCCACCCCAGCTCTCGTTCACAGACCTTCTACTTCGGGGAGATCGGCATTGGGACCCCTCCCCAAAATTTCCTGGTGATCTTCGACACCGGCTCTGCCAACCTGTGGGTGCCCTCCACCTACTGCCAGAGCCCAGCCTGTGGTGAGCACCCCTGGGGACACCCCTGGCAGCTGGGACAGGGCCACCCAGGGGGGTTTGGGGCCACCAACCCAGTGGGACTGGATTTATGCCCCATTCCCTGTGATGCCTGTCTCTGTGGGGCCGGGGCTGTGACCTGGGGGCTGTCACCTTCTGTCCCTGCAGAGGATCATGCCAGCTTCAACCACAGCCTGTCCTCCACCTTCCTGGGCACCAGCGCCAGCTACACCCTGAGCTACGGCTTTGGGGACCTGTCCGTGGTGTTGGGATGTGACACTGTGACAGTGAGTGAGCCCTGAGGGCATGGCCACAGGGAAAAACAAATCCAACCGGCTTAAAAACTCAATTTGCTTAAAAATTCAGGCTGCTTAAAACCTTTTTTTAAGGAAAAAAAACCCAAAAACTTTCTTTTTTTTAGCTTAAAAGAGCAAAATATCCCACCTGGAACAGGCCTGAAGTGGGGTAAAAATTTAAAGTGCCTCTTTATTCTGGGGATTGGTTCCTGATTCATTTAAGGTGTGTCAGAATTCACTCCGAGATTGGGATCTGCAAACAAACCCATTCCCAGCCCTCTGGGCTTTCCAGCCCTGCTCAGGGATAAGGGAAGGATTTCTGTGGCCACAAGGATTTGCTTTGTGTCCATCCAAGCTTTGTGCTTCCAGGACAAAAAGGAACGCTCTGTTCGAGGCTTGCAGGTGGAGAAAACGCCATTTTCAGCTGATTTAAGAGGCAAACCTGGGTTTGTGGGTGTTTTATTTCTGTAGAACAAAAAGGATGAGGGGACAGAGCTGCGAGTCAGGCTGCTCCTGACCCCAGCAGCGATGGGCTCAGCCTCTCCCAGGGCAGATTCATCTTTGGGACCAATTCCTGACATCTCCCAGCACCCTCCCTCTCCCTGCAGATCCAGAACATCACCCTCAGCAACCAGGAATTCGGCCTGAGCCTGGATGAGCCCAGCAGACCCTTCTACTACCTGGATTTCGATGGGATTTTGGGCCTGGCTTACCCGGGCGTTGCTATCCCTGGTTTCCCCACATTGCTGCAGAATTTGCTGTGGCAGGAGCAGCTCAGCAAACCCATCTTCAGCTTCTACTTCTCCCGGTGAGAGCCCCAGGATCTGTCCTTCCCTCCATCCGCACCTTCTCCGTGCTCCTCAGCTTTCTGTGGGGCAGAAATTCCAATTTTGGGGCTGATTTTATTAAGATTTTGGGCTGATTTCAGATTTTGGGGCTGATTTTGTGTCGTTCCAGCAATCCTGACATATAATTACGGTGGGGAAGTCATTGTGGAGCAGAAATTCACATTTGGGGCTGATTTTATTCAGATTTTGGGGCTGATTTTGTGTCTTTCCAGCAACCCAACATACAATTACGGTGGGGAAGTCATCCTGGGGGGGGTTGACCCCCATCTCTTCTCCGGGGAGGTTTTATGGGCTCCAGTGATCCAGGAATTGTACTGGAAGATCAACATCGAGGGGTGAGCGCTGCGCCACGGCTCAGAGCAGCTCTGGGAAAGCTTTGGGAAGGTTTCCCAAGCCTTTTCCTGCTGCTTTTCCAGGTTCTCCGTGGGGATGGAGGTCACTGGCTGGTGCAGCCGAGGTTGTCACGGGATTGTGGACACGGGGACCTTCCTGCTCACTGTCCCAGGTCCCCTCCTGCCAGCCCTGCTGCAGGCTCTGGGCGCCCAGGAGAGCGACTATGGGGTAGGTGGGGCAGGGTGGGGATGGTGCTGAGATCCCAGTGTTCCCAAAAGAGCAAAATATCCCACCTGGAACAGCCCTGCAGTGGGGGAAAAATGAATTGGTAAATGTGGTTCTGGCTCCATCAAGAACAGCCCTGCAGTGGGGGAAAAATGAAATAATTTGGTAAATGTGGGTCTGGCACTATCAGAACAGCCCTGGAACAGCCCTGCAGTGGGGGAAAAATGAAATAATTTGGTAAATGTGGGTCTGGCACCATCAGGAGTAGCCCTGCAGTGGGGGAAAAATGAAATAATTTGGTAAATGTGGGTCTGGCACTATCAGGAGTAGCCCTGCAGTGGGGGAAAAATGAAATAATTTGGTAAATGTGGGTCTGGCACCATCAGGGCTGTGCTGACCCTTAGGGAGCGTGGCTGTGGTGACCACTGGCCAAAGGCCAGTGCCAGTCCAGGGTGTCCTGACCCCTCCCTGCCTCTCCTGCAGTTCCTCGTTGACTGCAGCACCATCCCAGAAATGCCCACCCTGTACTTTGCCATCGCTGGAGCCTGGATCCCGCTGCCTCCCGCTGTTTATGTCCTGCAGGTAGGTGGGATTTCCCCGTCCCAGCAGGAATCTGCAGTTCTGCCCAGCAGAAAATCAGAGTTTCCTTCCATTTCCCAGAGCTTCTGCTGCTCGCCTGTGGCTGTGGGGAGGGAATTGGTTTGGGAACTGTGCTGGAACTGGCTTTTTTTTCCTCCCCAGGATGATGGGATTTGCACTGTGGGGGTGGAGAGCACCTATGTGTCCTCTGCCGGTGGCCAGCCCCTCTGGATCCTCGGGAATCTCTTCCTCAGGCAGTATTATTCCATCTTCGACGTGGCCAACAACAGGGTGGGCTTTGCCACGGCATCCTAGGGATGCTGAGCACCATCCATGGGGGGTTTTATCCCTGGAATAACCTTCTCCTCCCTCAGATCCGGGTGTGGTGATGAGCAGTGAATAAAGGACTGTGGATCCAACCTGTGCTCGAGGTTTCCAGGCGCTCCTTGAGTTTCTGGATTGAGGCAATGACAAATTTGGGGTCTTTTTAAAATGATTTTTCATGGCACCCAGATCCCTGCTGGAGCTGGCTGGGAGACTGGGATGAGTGGGAGAATTTCAGGCTGAGCCCTTGCTGGAGGCTTCAGGAACCAGTTTGGAGCAGGAGCAGCTGTGTGTGAACAGCTCCAGGTTCCTTGGTTTGGTTTTTGTTTCCAAGGGGGACTTGCCCACGTGTATTTGCAAATAAATGAGGGATTAAATCAGGAATTAAAGCAAAGATGCTCAGGTTCAGGAAAACACCCTGGGTTTGTTCTCCAGGGGAAAAACTCATGGCTGCAGCCTCCAAAGAGGGAGAGGAGGAGGGATTTGAGGTGTGGGTGGCCCCGAGAGGAGCAGGGTCAGAGGGATTGGGGTGGTGATCTTGAGGTCCAGTGTGGGTGATGCTCAGGCGATCCCATTGCCCGTGGCACATGACCACCTCAAAAGTCCGCTGTTTCCAGTGTGATCCCCGTGTGATCCCGGTGTGATCCCTGTGTGAGGAACTGCAGGATCCCTGTGTGATCCCTGTGTGATCCCGGTGTGATCCCGGTGTGATCCCTGTGTGAGGAACTGTGTGATCCCTGTGTGATCCCTGTGTGATCCCTGTGTGATCCCTGTGTGATCCTGGTGTGATCCCGGTGTGATCCCTGTGTGATCCCGGTGTGATCCCTGTGTGATCCCCGTGTGATCCCCGTGTGATCCTGGTGTGATCCCGGTGTGATCCCGGTGTGATCCCGGTGTGATCCGGTGTGATCCCGGGTGATCCCTGTGTGATCCCTGTGTGATCCCGGTGTGATCCTGGTGTGATCCCGGTGTGATCGCTGTGTGATTCCTGTGTGATCCCTGTGTGATCCCGGTGTGATCCCGGTGTGATCCCTGTGTGATCCCGGTGTGATCCCGGTGTGATCCCGGTGTGATCGCTGTGTGAGGGGATGCAGGCTCCTGCTGCAGGGAGCTCCATGATCCCCCCGTTCTCCTGAAGGAAAGGGATGCATGATCCTGGTTCACGGGACTGCACAAGCCAAACACAGCGCTACCTGCACCTCCCACCCCACCCCTCCTCTCCCGACCCGTTTTTGGGGTGGAAACACCCGTTTTAGGGGAAAAAAAAACATTTTTGGGGAGGCCCCCCCACCTTCAGGGAAGGCAAGCGCCGAGAGCAAACTCCCGCCGTGGCCCGGGCGGGGACTACAAGTCC